AAATAACAAAAATGAAACCTTTGCTAGCTTTACAATGTTAATAACTGTGGAAGTGTGTCATCACGGTCTGTGAATAGGGTCCATTTAGATTTTGGGATGTGCATACTATAACTAAAGAATGTTTATTTATTTTATTTTTTTACATGCATCTTTTATTGATTTTATTGTTCAAGGCGAAAGATCTGACCAGCAGTCTTTTGAACACCATGACATCTGTGAACAACCTCTCTTTGAACTCTGGGACCAGGACGATACCCATGCAGGGCGGCACCGTATCCTCTACCTTCCCAGCTGGACCCACTATGGGTGGAATGGGCACTATGGGTGGAATGGGCACTATGGGCGTTAGCAACGGTTTTAACTCGCCCATGGGATTCCAGACGGGAGGTATGGGAATGGGCATGAGACCCGCTGCTCCTGGCCTTTATGGAGGCATGGCCACCACTACCAGCGCTCCAAATTTCAGTGCCCTCACCCAGAACCAAAACCAACCCAGCAAGCCCACAGACATGTCAGCCCTAGACTCCCTCTTCACTTCTAGCAAACCCAAAGTCAGCATGAACCAAATGGCCCCTAAACCGGCCCCAGGAGCCACTGCACCCTCCCCATGGCTCAGTCAGTATGGTACAGGCCAACCTGCCCAGACTGCACCCATGCAGGCGACTCCGCTGGGGATGACGGGAGTTCAAGGTGGTTTTGGAATGCAAGCAAACCCGTTCTTCAACCCTCAGAACTTCTCGCAACCTGTGGCCTCTTCAACAATCAACGCTGGGGTGATGAAGCAAAGCGCTTTAGTCAACAACGATCTTAAGGACCTCTTCGGATAAAACATCTGCCTTTCGTTCCCGTTCCCCCTTGTGTGGGAATCAAAACGAAACGACATCAGCAGCGAAGATGACAGTCAAAATTTGGTTGGGCGGTTGGACATGGTATCCTTGAAAGAGGTTAAAACTTTCTGGTTTGTTTAGTCTTTTTTTTTTTTTTTAGCCCTTATCAATGGTGAGCTTCCAGCGGACAGTCAACTTATCTCATCGTGTGAATCAAAAGCAGACGGCACCAAACAAACATCATGTTTTTACAGAAAGCTTGGGCTCTTCTACTAAAAGCTGCTTCAGTTGATGGATGCCTTGCATTCGTTGTACCATTTGACAAAAAAAAATCACTTACAAAAGGAGTAACAAATGGGCAGAACAAACTCAAGCACTTTTGGTTTAATTTCTTCTTTGCTTGAGCCTCAAGTTCACCTCGCGTCTGAGTGAGCCGACTTCCTTTACCAGAACAAACCTCATCGATGGCCTCAGGATTTGCTGTTGTGCTGATCGTGTCTCGCAAAAGGAAGTCTTTCAGTTGTGTTCTCCCTTGTCTGACATACAACGATCATGTGATAAGTAAAGAAAGAGCTGGTGCAGTCCATAATTCGGGCCTGAATGAGTGTTTTTATACTGTGTTCTTTGTGTATGTATTGTATCTGGTGATTATTGTTTGAGTTTCATTCTGATTACATGATCCACTGAGGTAAAATATCTTAAAGGAAGAACACTGTCTTCATATTGTAGTTGCACTAAATGTAATAGAGCTAAAAAAAACAACAACAACAACTGTACACTCTAAAAAATGCTGGGTTAAATACAACCCAGTGCTGGGTAAAATAGGGACAAACCCAGCAATTGGGTTGTTTTGACCCAGCGGTTGGGTTAAATGTTTAACCCAACCTTCTGGGTAGTAACCCAACCGCTGGGTCAAAACAACCCAATTGCTGGGTTTGTCCCTATTTTACCCAGCACTGGGTTGTATTTAACCCAGCATTTTTTAGAGTGTAGGGTTTGAGATGTTGTCAGTACTTTAAAGTGAGTTTGTGTAAAACAGAATCCACGAGCTTCATTCATGAAACACCTAGCTGATTTATTTTTTGCGAATTTATTGTTTGTTAAACTCTCTCTTGAAAAAAAGGGTCATATTTCATCCCGAAATCAAAAGACAAAGTCAAATATGCAAAATTGCAGGGTAAATCATGCGTTACTGTAATACAATAGTAACAATCTTTTTTTAGTCAACATATTAGGGCTGCACAATTAATCGAATTTCTAATCGCAATTACAATTATGGATGCCACAATTACGTAATCGTTCAAAGCGGCAATTAATCGTTCAAAGTCCACTTATGTTATTCTGCGTGCTTAAGATGCGTTTTTTTTCTTTCTACATGTTATCTTAAGGGCTTTTCCCATTATTTTAATTTTAGTTTTAGT